GCCCGAGAGTTGGTCGAAGTGGGAGGTGCCAGTTTCGTGGAGGCACTGTTGGACCTGTTGCACCTCGTCCGGAATGACGGGGCTGTTCCGCAGGATTGGATAGACTGCAATCTGTGCGCCAATCCCAAAGAAAGGTACACTTTCCTTGTGTGATACTTGGTGTGGCACATCACCGCTGGATTATACTGTTGGGAAGGTTGCTGCTTGAATTCTACAGTCCCGGTTTCACAACTGCCATCAGCACTAGTACTTGGAGGAAATCGATAACGGCACAATCATTACCCAGACACTGCACCAACATAATACTATTATGCACCAACGTGTACATAGAAAGAAACGGCCAATGTACAACAGCATAATACTAACCACTGTTTTTCTGCCACTGTTGCAGAGAGCACAAAGGAAAGTAAGAACGCGCACGAAAAAAAACACACGTATAAGCAGAGAGCAGAGAACTTGAGTAGTCACAAAAGCTGGTTAAGGTGAATGACTAATTCCCAAGTTCATGTACTGCATGATGTTGTGACACATGGCGTATTTACTTGCTGCTAGCAGCAGCAGCAGCAGCAGCAGCAGCAGCTGACAAAAGAAGTACTTGTAAACCAAGATGTAGTGCGCACAAATGGAAAGACTACACACGATCAAAGGAGCGGTGGTGAGAATGCATGCAGCATGTAGAAAGAGCATACATTTAGGGTCACTGGCATGCATGTATCTTCACAGCACAGAGTTTGATGCATGCCCGTTCGTGCAGCAAGCCATGAGCAGTGTCAATGATTATAAATTTGGATGTTAAATGTCAATGATACAATCATGCAGCAGCATTGGCCATGTGCCACACACTACCACACACACTACCAAACACACTACCACACACACTACCAAGCACACTACCACACACACTACCAAGCACACTACCACACACACTACCAAGCACACTACCAAGCACACTACCAAGCACACTACCAAGCACACTACCAAGCACACTGCCAAGCACACTACCAAGCACACTACCAAGCACACTGCCAAGCACACTACCAAGCACACTACCACACACACTACCAAGCACACTACCAAGCACACTACCAAGCACACTACCAAGCACACTACCAAGCACACTACCAAGCACACTACCAAGCACACTACCAATCACACGCCAAGCACACTACCAAGCACACTGCCAAGCACATGCCAAGCGCATGCCACAGCAACACTAGTCGTGATCCCTACTAAAGCTAGAATAGCACAGTGGCACTCACTTGGGCGCCTTGATGCTCTTCCCTGGAGACACAGGAACACAAGACCACAAGCAAGAGAGAACCGGTTACTGACTGTCAATATGAAGGAGGACCGGTGATCACGCTCAGGCCTATGTGTGCTTTTCCGGTTGAATTGTGCAAAGGTATACAGCACTGAGCAACTATTTATATAATATTCATTTATTCACAATCACGTGGCACGTTGGAAACCGTATGCTGAAAGTCAACACATATTCGGCGCATATTTTTTTCGGCTATTTTCGGCCTGGTCATGTTTGGCTGAAATTTGTTGCAGCCGAAATTTTGTTTTGCAAGGTTCAGTGTGACAGTGTATACAGGTGGCAGCAGTACAGGCCGAAATTTGAATGGGCAGAATATCTGTAGACTTCCAGTACGCCAAGGTGCACTGTTTTGGGGGGGGGGGGTTATAGTACACGTGCTGGCAAAAATACTGACAGTAGTGCCACAATTCAATTTCAATGATGGGAAACTAGAATCCACCGGCTTCGCAAATAAAACGAGAGAGCTTGGAAGCTCAGGGCCCTACGCTATGCTTTTATGCTTTTTTGCCTAGCTCATCGTACATGTTATAAGAACTGATGGAATTGTCTTTTTCCGTTGATTGGCCACATCACTGTATTGCAAAAACGTTTCAATCGGTTTGAATATTATGAGTTAGGCAAAAGTATTTGCAGAATTTATTGCGGATTGTTATTTCTCTAATAATCATCTACTTTTGTTTTGCTCCTTCTTTAATTTTTATCTCCTTATATTGTAAATCAACAAATTTTGGCCGATGAGAAATAGAAACCTCTCGATTAGAGAGGTTAAGATGCACGTTATTTCCGACGTGACGCGCAGTTTCACGTCAAATTTGAAATCGATCGGTATTTTTGCTCTCACATGCATCCATTGCTCAATCATGCATCATTTGCCTATATGACAAACGTTGGCCTGCGATTTACTTTGGCCGGTTGGTACCAAGCGGCGAAATCAGCGAAATTAAATCGCCAGCGAACAATAGTTGATTTTAATACAGGAATTGGATTTTCTGGCCTTTTTGTAGTAATACATGTACATAATCATTGACCTGTTGAGCCAATGACGCCGCCGAATGCATGGTTGCCTGTGGAGCACATTACATAACTTTACAGTCTCCTAAAAAACGTATCCTGTCCGACTGCAAAAGAGGCTGCAGATTTAGTTTTTCTGCGCGTCGACGGGATGTCTGCGACGCGAAAGTTCAGCTCGCGTTATTTGGCTCGCACGTCGAAAAAATCAACGCGAGTGACCTGCTGCTCACGTCGAAATTTGGACATTACATAACTTTACAGTCTTCTATATAAATACGTATCCTGTTCGACGGCAAAAGAGGCTGCAGATTTAGTTTTTCTGCGCGTCGACGGGATGTCTGTCCTGACGTTTACTGGGACCGGCGCTGACTCTGCCGATCACGGGCGTTCTGGCCTCGACGGGATGTCTGTCCTGACGTTTCCTGGGGTCATCCTATCACCTAATCGGCGTCTATTCTTGTTGTGTCTCTAACCAAGAGACTGTGGGTTCACACGTAGAGTTTACATACAAGTTTATTCTACGGTTGCAGAGCAATAAGAAGCGTTGAGGTATGATTGTGCTAGAGGATATAGGAGTTGTATCCCGGGTGCGGGATGCGTTGGGTGGCAGTACAATGAATTGCTATAGAGAGTTCATGCCTAAGCGGTTGTGGTTTTAGGGTGGATCAATAGTACTTGCAATTAGATGAATACATGTCTGGTACATACACTACATTCCTCCCCTAAATGTTATGGTACATGTTGAGCTACGAGGTATTCCTATACGGCATAACATTTAATGCACAAGAAGAAGAAGCGGATGAGCTGAGAGCACGGGACAGCAATTGTGTGAGCAAGAAGCAATTCAGTCTCTCAGGCGAGCCGGCAGGACTCGGGCTCTCGGCGGGTTACGGCGGGGTTCAGTCGTATCTTGTGCCAGCGGCGACTGGACCTGCTGCGTTGCCGTAGTTGCTGCTACTGGTGTTTGCGCAGGCGGAGGTGTTGGAGTAGCAGCGGCTTGGACACTGGGTGGTGTCGGAACACTAGCTGGCAAATGAGCAGTCGGAAAGCACAAACTGTGATCCGGTTCTGCCACGGACGGCAAAGGCGCTGTGTTCATCGGTACGGATGATTGCGGAGCGGAGTCGGCTGACCGGAGCTGTTCAACATGGCGCCTCCATTGCTGGTCTGGGCCAACTTCCACTGTATAGTGGCGGGAGCCGTGTACCGCTTGCACTGTGCCCGGAATCCACGGGTGTGGTGCGTTGGTGCGGTAGTCACGTACCATGACGGTGTCATCCACAGCAAACGTGCGCTCACGGTTCGCTGATCTTGCACTACGCTGAGCTGTCTGTTTCTTAGCAACAGATGCCTGGACACTGGGTTGAACCAGCGACAGCCGCGTGCGTAGCTCCCGGTGCATTAGCAGGGATGCTGGTGTGGCATTCGTTGTAGCATGGGGTGTGGTGCGATAGGCCAACAGGAAGCGAGGCAAGAACTCAAGCGGTGCTGTGGCAGAATGGGACCTGAGTGCCTGCTTCATTGTACGCACAAATCGTTCAGCCAACCCGTTAGTCGCTGGGTGGTACGGTGCTGAGAACGTGTGCGTTATGCCGTTGGCTTCTGTGAAACGGCGGAACTCATCGGCAGTAAACTGCGGGCCGTTGTCACTCACGATCTGGTCCGGCAGGCCATGTTGAGCAAACACTTCTCGGAGACGGCGTATGGTAGCCGGGGCAGTGGTACTGCTCATTGGTAGCACTTCTGGCCACTTACTGTGGGCGTCCACCACAATCAGCCACATGTGCCCTTGGAACGGCCCGGCAAAATCAATGTGGAGACGCTGCCATGGCTTGGACGGCCACTCCCAGGGATGTAGCGGTGACTTCGGTGGCGCCGCCTGGTGTGCCTGACAGCCAAGGCAGGCCTTGCCGGTCTGCTCGATGTCTGTGTCGATGCCTGGCCACCATACAAAGCTGCGGGCTAGTGCTTTCATCCGAACCAGCCCAGGATGGCCACTGTGCAGCTCCTCCAGTACTCGGTGGCGCAGTGGGGAAGGAATGACGACACGGATTCCCCACATGACACACCCTTGGTGTAGGCCCATCCCATCTTCGTCGCCAGTTGTTGTGTCTCTAACCAAGAGACTGTGGGTTCACACGTAGAGTTTACATACAAGTTTATTCTACGGTTGCAGAGCAATAAGAAGCGTTGAGGTATGATTGTGCTAGAGGATATAGGAGTTGTATCCCGGGTGCGGGATGCGTTGGGTGTTGGGTGGCAGTACAATGAATTGCTATAGAGAGTTCATGCCTAAGCGGTTGTGGTTTTAGGGTGGATCAATAGTACTTGCAATTAGATGAATACATGTCTGGTACATACACTACAATTCTAATTTAATTTCCTCCTCGTCTCCCTATTTCTTTCCAAATCCCCTCGACATCAGGGAGTCGTATGCATAATACGACGAATATTGGTACGGTACGGGACAGATACAGGAGCCCGCAAATATTGTGGACAGCTGTTATGTACAATCCTGTAGAGCCTTTGTAGTCACAGATACGGGACAGATACGGGATAGCGCCAGGCGTGACACAAACAAACAAACAAACACACACACAAATACCAAATTAAAGCTGTGTGGACCCTGGCTAGCGCCAGACGTTACTGAAGTAACGTCTTCTGCATAGCTACGGGAATAAAGTACACGACTTACTTCTCCTTCGACTGCCCGGTCTGCTGGACCTCTGCTGCCTCTGTGGTAGTGTGGACAGGTAAAGGCCAGCGCAGAAAGTGTTATAGACTTGCCTCCATCGCTTGCCAGCATTACTCTTCATGCCTAGGCAGGTAGTGTACGCACACAAGTATAAATCCATGTCAATACAGAGAAAACAAAAGGCAGGCAGTGAATGTGACTCTTTCCGAGAGATACTTGTGTGTGTATGCAAAGAATCATGCTTGAAGTATATTATTCTACAATATTATGATTCTTCAGAGCAAGCAGACAAAGAATAGACTTCTTGCCAGGTGCGTCGACTCACCGATAAGTCGGAGGATGAAAGGATTGGAACTGTTGCGAAGCACTGCAATGACATCGGGACGGAGCATGTCTCGGTTCTTCTCCCTGAATCCCTGGGAAAGCACAACGAGCAAAACAGTCATGGAAGAACCTTGAGGAGCCACAGACACTCGGCGAACCGTTACTGGACACCAGCCAACACGGTGGTATGTAATGTCAAATTTTGGAAGCACCCACGGCCATGTCATTTCTACTTCTAGTGCACGTACTGTAAAGCGACAAAATTTCACGGCGCGTAAATTTAGCGTTTTCATAGATTGGGCTGATTCAGGATGAGAAACTTTTGCGATTCTATCTCTTCAGTTGGATGTTGTACTGTCTACAATCAAAAGTACGGAGAGGTTTGCGGCGATTTATATTCGCGAATGTGTGGTGGTCGCGAAAATAGCATTTAATCTCTAGCGAAAGTTTCTCACTTTACAGTAGTCAAGTCCACAATTCAATTGAACACAATGATCATGACATCATCCACTCAGCAGACTTACATCAATCCGGTATGTGACTGAACCAGCATAGTGCTTGATTGTGAACGCCGGTCGGCTGTTCTTCAGCTTGCGAGGCATCACAAAGTACGTGTTCTCCTTCTGGTGGTGTCCAATCTTCTCCAGCAGCTTCTCATCGGTGCCAGTAGACAGCCTACGCGTCAATCAAAACAACATGATCATCGCGCGCACACAGATAGTCCACAGAGTGCAGAACGTGTCAGCACGCATACAGTTAGCTCAAACACGGCGGAACTGGTGCACGTCAAGACAAATCTCCCGACCTCTCCCCTCGCGTTCTCCCAAGTCGTGTTGATAGTGTTCCAAGGCATACTAGCAGGGATCTGGGGATATGTACATCTCATCACAATCTTATGGGAGTTGGGCTACATGCAGGGACACCCACACGTGCACACCCACACATGCACACACACACACGTGCACACACACCTGTGCACACACACACACACACACAAGCCCACACACCCACACCCATGCACGCACGCCCACACACAGAGGGTGAAACTCACTTGCTCTCCTCATCCAGTAAATGCAAGATGCCAGTGGGCCGCTTGCTGATAAGCTCCAGGCAGGGAGTGTTGTCAGTGAAGGACACTTCTGACCACTCAATGCCTTCTGCTTGGTATTGCTCCTGCAAGAAGACAGGAAGGCAACAGAACGATAAAGGTGAATGCAATTATTACACATGAATAGCAAACAGAACCAAACCTACTCCCTCCTCTTCTCAGCCATGTATACATCTTGCACATGGCCTTGTAACAGAAAATACTCTAGATGCCAGTGGATGAGCACAAGGCAACATCAGATTCCAAGAACTTTACAAGAACACAGTGGTAGCGAACGGTCCACTTGTGATGCGTATTCCAAACATTTGTAAAGTAATCACTTCACATAACGACGGCATTTGTGTATGCCGATAGGCACGATGAAGGTGCCCATACACGGCACAAGACTTGTACGGCTGATCACATCACTAGCATCCTGGCACGGAACAACCGGCAAGTGCAAGCAAATAGTAGTACAAGTAAATAGTAAACACACTGTACATGAAATTTCAGCATCCATAATACCTGCACACAGGAGTTAGTTCATCCTGTTAGGGCTAATTGGCGCAGCTCCGAAATACGGAACTTTGAAATTGCAGTGCATGTACCAGTGGACACTCACCTGTTCGTAAGAGAAGATGTGCCGGTTAAAGTACTGCTGGAGCTGCTCATTGGCATAGTTGATGCAGAACTGCTCAAAGCTGTTCACCTTGAAGTTCTCAAAGCCAAAGATATCCAGCAGGCCAATGCTCAAAAGCTGGGAAGGTACAAGTGCACATACACACACACACACACAAATATGAAGTGAATAAGCTGAAGTTCAGACACATGCAATCATGCACACATGTACAGTATGCATACACATACCACATGCAATCATGCACACATGCGCAGGACATATGCGCATGCCACGTGCAGTCATGCACACGTACACAGTACAATACAAGTCCAGGTTATACAAATACGCACGTACTGCTAAGACGGGAGCAGAGCTGGAGCTGTGCTTCACACACTGCCTGGTCACCACCTACCTTGGCATTGGACGCCCTCGTTGACAGCACACTGTTCACCTGGCATTGAAAAGAAGAAAACGACGGAGTCAAGATGTCAAAGCTGGAAAGCTGCACTGACACAATAGGCTAGAATGCGCAGATTGTGAAGTAGCATATCAACATGCCTTCTACTAACGGTATACATGTACTAGACTCAGTTACTACCAGGGAGTTGTACCCAAACAAGGGAGGTGACACGGTGCAGAAATCCTTGTCTCAGGGGTTGCCTCGCACGTTGTTATTCTTTCTGCTGAGTGAGGATGGCTTTTGCGAGCTCCGGTTCTAAGTAGGTTTTCGAGCAGTGTCTGTGTGCTAAACACCGCCAAAGTCAAGTCAGCCATGCGGGAAGGCCAATGCGCCGGTGCAACGGCACAACTGGCACCTGCATCAGCTGCGCTTGCGTGAAAGGCGGGCGTACATGTAAGTGTTGGAATTGTCCCCCTGCCCAGTCCAATTGGTGCCGAAACCAGCTCTCGGCAACAAATCTGCGAAAGCCTCGTCAGCTGTTCAAACACCCAGTGATACGGTACTGGTCACCGGCGCCACTCGTACGACTGACGTCCTCAACACCCATGGAGCAGCTACAAATACTGGTGGTGAGGCGCAAGTTTGCACCGCCGAGCGATGCTTGACAACTGTGGATTAAATTACCACCGCGGCACTCAACTCTGCAATACCTGCTGTTTCCGACTCGCAACAGCTAGCGTGGAACCTTTTTCGTTCCTCAGCACCCTGTCCAGTTTGAAGCCATCAACAGAGAGGCCATTCGGCAAGCTGCCTTGCGAACGACAGGTGCTGCAGGTCCATCGGGTATCGATGCTGATTCTCAGCGGCGCATGTGTATGTCCTTCGGAGACGCATCGCATCATCTCTGCGATGCCCTCTCGACTACTAGTAGTCGAAAAAATAACAACGTGCGAGGCAACCCCTGGGACAAGGATGTATGCGCCGTGTCACCTCCCTGGTGTGGGTAAGACTCCCTGGATACCGCACACCCTCTAATCAGACTGTCATTTCCATTTCGTGAAACAGGGCAATGACCGTTGGACTCTACAGGATCACAGCGCTGATCGACAGAGTAATGTACATTTCACCGGTACAAGAAAAAGGTACCTTTGCTACAATCCAGTCGAACAGATAGGAGTAAAGTGCCTTGGCAGTGGCGTCCCGGGCATCAATGGACTGTACATCGGCACAAGGGCACAGAAAATAGGACAAGAGATTCTAGTCAGGTCACAGAAATACACTACAGCTAAAAGACGTTTGCACAAAGAGTGCAGTTCCACGGAACACCGTAAAATCAAAATGATCCCAAACTCTACTCCACTGGGCTAGGTGAATGGAAGAGAAGACATGTGCCCCACACACATTCACCCATCAAGGACTATGAAAATTTAGACAGAAAAAAATAACTACACAAACACAAGGCTAAGTTGCTCTCAAAGCTCACGTCAGTCTGTAGTACTCACTCAGTGGGATAATCCAGGACATACCGGTACGCATCGAATGGTAGTTCAAGGAAGGCTTCAAATGCCATTGCCAAGATGAGAAAAACCAAAAGTACTAAAGTATCCGTGCCTGAGTCTATTTAAGAACATTACCTCGTTGACTTGAAAAGGGGTAGTGAACTCGGCTCCGCGAATTACGGACGTCCGTTGGGTCAGCGACAAACTCAATGTGGCCTCCTCCACCTTTCAATGTGAAAGAAAACCAAAGGAGTGAGAACATAGCAGGACTGTTTAAAACAAAACACCTAAAGTCTGCTTCAAAGTTACACAATACTCCAGCACTAATTCTCTCAAGGCGAGTAAACTAAAACCGGTAAGCAGTTTGTAAACTTTGTAAATTGTTACACATCGGTACATGATTTCAGTACATGATTTCAGAACAAGTTTTCAAGTTTTCAGCGGGTGTAAAACATGATACCAGTGTGCATGAAGTAGTCTTCCTCGAGATTGCTCGCATGCCCAAACCTCATCTGGGCAAGGTCGGCCTACGACTGAAGGAAACTTGCTCCAACACTAGTCTAATAAGCAGCAGCAGCACAGGAATCGTACATTGCACTCTAAATACGTGCACTGACCTTGAGCAGCTGGCCAACAAAGCGCAGCGTGTCTTCGTTCTTCACGCTAGAGAGGCCATCCTCACCAGTCTGATGGCAAGGCAGTCCAGAGCAAAACACCCATACGAAGAGAAGCACGTCCACAAACGCCCACACATATCATCACATGAGCAGAGAAATTAAAACCATGGTTTAGCAGCACTCTGAGCTATCATACAGCACGTGTTAATTAAAAATCCTGAACTGGCACAAAACAGCCTTCACTACTGCACCACAAATACAGTAAAATAACAATGAGGAAATGAGTGAACAAATACATTGAACAAATACATTGAATAAATACATTGAATTATTCGGGTCAAAAACTCAGATGGTGAGCCAAGGAAAAAATTGGAACATGGGAAAATGTGGGCACAAGTTATGCGATCGAGTCCACCAACTCGATGGCGCTGGCCTTCTCCTCTTTGGAATTAGCACTAATATCCATGAACCTTCCAGGTTGGAAGGCCGTTGGTTTGCGCTATCGAGCAGTGCTCAAGCTGACTTTCTTGCCGTGGAATGTCTTAGTACTCCCTGTAAGTTTTGTGCTAGATTGCGCATGTCTGACTGTTCAAAATCTGGATTAGTTGGTGGACTCGATCGCATAACCTGTGCCCACAATTTCCCATGTTAGATCGTCATGGTCTTGGCTAGCGTTGGAATGACTAGCCAGTGCTGATGTATCACATGCCATCCTATACCAATGCCATCCTATACCAATGCCAGCCACAGAATGCCCCCTCCCCCCCCCCCCCCTCCTCAGGATGAGCCCTAGCGATGGTTGCCTGGTTGTACATACTGTCATACCCTGCCATGCTTACCTCAAATTCGACATTGCCAAGATGAAGCAATGCAGCCACTAGTGTGAACACCCTGTTGCACGACACATAGCAGATAGTGCATCAAAGAAATATGCATACACACACACACACACACACACACACACGCACAACCAGGTTTAGTTCACATACATCAAGACCAACTGGCCACCAACAACACGTCACCTATCCGATCTTCTAAGACTGAAAGACACATTTAAAATATAACATGGCAATTGCCCCTCTCGTCTGGGCAAGTGCGGCACATTGTCATCTCCATCAGCTGGACCTGGTCCAGCGTCGAGCCATGAAGGTTATTGGCCCCTCATTGCTCCCCAGCCTGGCAATCCGAAGGCATGTTTACGGGCTGTGCTACCTGTATAAGCTGCAATGCATACCAGGTCCAGCTCTGCTTACCAACATGGTACCTCCCCCAGCAAGAGTTAACGCTGCACCCCGGACGCGCCGGCAACGCCAGTCCCTCGGTGGCCACTCTTTCCAACTCGCAACTCCTCTGCCAGCCTCCAGTCCAGAGTTCATCCGCCGCTCCTTCCCATACTTTGTCCTGGAGAGCTGGAACACACTGCCTGCCCCAATCCTCGCCGATCGCCCAACTCTCAAGAAACTGCCGACATTTAAGGCCTACCACCACCTCCGCCAGACCAATTGGCTATGGGCCACTGACGTCCACCAGCACTGAGAATAACCGGTTGTCTCTATTATTATCATTTTCTGTTTCTCTCTCTCTCTCTCTCTCTCTCTCACTCTTCCTCTCCTGGGAAGCTTCTCAGGCTCATTCTCCCTTTCTCTGTCCATTTCCCCTTCCTGATGCGTAGACCAACTGATGAACCCGAGACCACTAGGTCGGGGGAGGTTGACCTACCTCATCGGCACGCATGCCAGGCTCCTCTGTGTTGTCAATGTTCACTTGTCCAATTTTGTCTACCTCCCCTTTTTATGTTGCTGGCCAGTGCTTTGTAGTAAAAAAAAAAAAAACATGGCAGTGGTGGTTGAACTCAACCCCCTTATATTGGCTGGTGACTGTTTAACCCTTATCCAGCCGCCCGTACAAAAAAAATCGACCACTATCGGGCGATGGGAAAAAAAATCCCACTTTTTCGGTGACTCGTTCAAATTTTTGGAGCTGAGGAGATTATCTTTCCGATGGCGTGTCTTTCGAGGTAGGTTACTGTTGAACGCCTTTGCTTGATGTGTTCGTCAAAATGATTCTTTGATGCGCTGTGAGGGCATGAACCTCGCGGCATCATGCTGGCTTTCGTGGATCTTCTTTACTCTCCTTTTAGACTAATTCCTGCAAACAAGCCGTATTCGGGTGCTTGAGTGTGTGGCCATGAGGGATCGAGGGAGCATGCAGACGAGATTGTAGTGCTCAAGGGTCCGACCTAAGGAATTCGATAACAACCCCACCAATAAAAATATTGTATGATGGACGCTTCCTCCAGAAGATGAACGACGACGAAGACGTCCACATCAGGAAGAAAGCCAAATCCTGTGGGCAAGTGCCTGGTCTTCTTTACAGAAGAAAGAAGGAATTGCAAACACTGCTTTGCCACCGAGAACGTCGAGCGGAAGTGTAACTCTAAGTGCATCGCGTGTGATGCTTACCTGCACGTCAATAGCCGCAACTGTTTCTACTTTTATCATGAATAGTTTTTTTTTCTAATTTTTGTCCTGCATCAATTCTGCAACCTGGGACACACCAATGGCCGTGAATCTGGGAAGTCAATGTTGTAGTTTACATTATAGCACATATTGTTGTCAACTGGCTACTAGTATGTTCTAATCGATTTTTGGTCAAAAATCTATCAGAATACTTGTAGTACCAGAGTCCATAAAGAAGAGTATGCAACTGTGATCTCTTTTCTTTGCGAGCTGCCTTCATCACTAGTACATCATTGAGCTGCAGTCCACACACTGCGGAAAATCAAACACCGCACTTTCCCTCTGGTTTGAAATGACTTTGGTACGGAACTGGAGTTCCCGCGCCAAAATTTGGAGATCGCATACATGTAGGTACTGGAAAGAATCGAGAGAAAAAACGGATGGGCTCGTACGAGAAATTGTGGGTTTGAGTGCATGCTTTCAGAGCGTGATGGAGGCAAGTTACGTAATGAAGGCAGCGCGCCGCGCACTGACCCATAACCACAGTTACATACTCCTGTTTATGCACTCTTGATAGTACCCTATTGCTATTTACAAAGTCAAATGGTTCTTGACTTGTGATTAATTTTATACGGAGTGTTCGAAAAGTGCCTTTTGGGGCTGATTTTTAGCGGCTGGATAAGGGGTTAATAGGACATGACTAGGCTCACTTACTCTTCCTGGCTTCTTGCCGTGAACTTCACATCGTCCAGAGACTTGCATAGCTTCTTGAACTCAGCCTTGTCATCGATAGCTGGCACTTGATAACACTTTTCCTGGCCCTACAAATGAATGCAACAGATGAACAGAATAATGTCAGGAGCGGATTCTATCAACCTTGATGACGGCCCCAAAATTCAGAGTAAAAAAGGGGGTGCGACTTACAATCGAGCATGACTTACTACTGAAGTGAATATATCCAACAATATTGCTCAAACCTGAAAATGGGGGTGCTACTTATAATCGAGTGCGACTTATAATCGGGGAAATACGGTAATTAACCAGATTTGCCTGCGAACAACCTGAGCACTTGCAAAAACCAGTCCTATGGGATATGTTAACACGTCTGCATGACAAGTCACACAACTTACATCTACCGTGTGGTTGAGGTAGTTGTAGTCTTCGGGCTTCGTCAACCTCAACCTGTCCTTGAGCTGCTGGCGCGCACCGGCCAAGATAAAGTAGAAAATGTGATAGTTCCTGGTGCATGGAAGTAGAGAGAATCAAAGTGTAGCAGCCAAAGCTGGCTTGAGTGTTGACGTAATATTATGCAGATGCCACTATGACACGAGCAATATAAATATAGGGCGATGAAATATGGCTGTGAAAATTACCCCTCACCATCCGGAAGATGAACTAAAACTCGCCGATGCTCACGTGCCGAGTGCAATAATATGCACCCAGATCTCCAATGCTAGGACACCATTGGCACATACAGCTCGCTCGAAGTCACTCGCACTTGCTGCCTATATAAAATGCATGACGTTGTGTTTTGAATTGTAGTCAGTGCTGCCTAATGGTCTGTCTGATGGTCACTATAATGGTCACACGTGACCCAGTGATATTTTTCCAAACGGGTCCAAGTAACCCCCAACCGGGTCACTGGTCCGGTTGACCTGGCTCTGGAGCAGACACTGTTGATGCCGTCAATCCTTTTTCTGCACCTTGTTCCCGCCTACTTTAATACTGAGGTGTGGTGAGCCCATAAGTGGGATCATTTCGAAGCCCACCCAGAGTTTGGGGATTTCGGGGGGTGTTGGCTGTTGGGCAGTTCAATAGCCAATTGAGTCAGCTTTCCAAGATTCCTTTTGAGTCTCTCTCCCCTCTCCCAGGGAGACCCACGTGACTAGTTTTCGCAGTGAGCCAGTACAAGTGTGTGTATGTGTGTGTGTGTGTGTGTGTGTGTGTGTGTGTGTGTGTGTGTGTGTGTGTGTGTGCACAAATTGCTATGTCTAACATAGCTGTTCGCTATCATTGCTTCCGCGATGGGCATGTCTGAGGTCTGAGGTGTGTGTGTGTGTGTTTGGATAGGGGGGGGGGGGGGGGGGGGGGAGGAGGAGGAGGAGGAGGAGGAGGAAGAGGAGGATTAACAAACCTGTACACATTATTTGTACCCTGTGCATGACAGCTACAGTAGGGTTCTAGGCTTCTAGCCAAGGTCTGAAGGAGGGGGGTAGCCCACCCCCCCCCCCCCCCACACACACACTCTGCCCGTGCGCCCCCTGTGAAAATGTACCGTCCATACTCATTTTTCAATTTTAGTGGTTTTTTCAGCTGACACAACGAAAATGCGGTCACATGCCGACCGTTAATGCGTTCCGGATTGGGCGCTGCACTCGTATGTTGCATTCCGTGTGAAAAGGCAATATTGGAAAATGGAAAATGGGCTAACAGTTTGTTTCCCCTGTCCCCTGCCTTCCCTACAGTTTTCTCCTGCTTACAGTCTATTTCAAAACTATAGACGCGTAGGGTTTTTGAAATATTTCAAATTTGGCTGGAGCTTTTTGAGAATAGTTTTCGGAATATTGCTCAGGACCGCTCCACAATTACTCTCATATAGTTTCTAAGCGATTGGATAACAGACGCCCAATTTGGAAAAAAATTATGCACAAACTGCCACAAAGTGATCACAGATTTTATGTGGTATAGATGCTGGCATAACGGTTTTTGCCTAGGTACGCGTCTATAGTTTTGAAATGGACTGTAGAGCTCTGCATAGGGTTGTACATAACTCTGCTTGGCGTACAACTCTCTAGTAGTCACAGTGCACTGTTTGCCCTAGCGTAACCTATTCAACCATGTGATGTGAAGCTCTGCCATCGCAGCACTGGATAGAGGTTGCAGGCGCGTGCCCCGTACGGGTTCCTGGGTGCCCGGAACCCCCCTTTTTTCGCTCAAAAATGCAGGATTTTGTTTCATTTTTTGAAAATTTTCCCGGGGGCCCCCCTTCAAGGCCACCGTAGCACTGGACAGAGGTTGTACAGGCCGTTGCACACTCTTGGGGGATACCGTACCCACTCAGTTGACGCCCCCTCTCTAAAAAAACCGCCCCCCCCCCTCCCCTTCCCCATGTAAGGTCAAATGCTTAAAAAGCATCTTGTGTATGGAAAGTGGCAAGGTTCCAGCTAAGTCCAAAAAGCAAGGTGCAAGATTAGATGATAATACTACGCTGCTCACCTTTCCTCACTTGACTGAGAGATGACTCTGGACTTCTCCAGCAAGTACTTCTCAATGCTTGCTCTGTGGTTGGATAGCACAATGAAGCAACACGAAGCAGCCGTGAACAGAGCAACATGTACTATAGTCCGTAGTAGAAAGTGATAATTTATAAGACAAAAAGGGCTACAAGTTGCGCAGAAACGCACTACTGCAAGACAGGAACCGAAGGACAAGTTCACCTGCCACATGTCCATGCCGCGTACCGGCTTGAGCAACTGGGAACATCTCTGTGCATTGACAAGCATTGCATAACGTTATAAGCCACTTACTCTTTATAGGATCCGCTCTGCAAGAACTGCAGCAAGATGAACTTTCCGAAGCGACTGGAGTTATTGTTTGACACCGTTCGTGCATTGCCAAAAGCCTGAAGAACATACAGCAGCGAAAAGAACCCGATCGATCAATTTCAACATTACTGCCTACACGCCATGCAGTGAAGAGAGGTAGGATAAGGACAAGTACTAGCACACACCATCACCTCCAGAAGACAATAGCAAGCTATCAGCATCTGGGATGTCAGTTATGTACGCAGCATCCATTTGGCATGTAGACGCACGAATTTCAGTTTGCTTGTATACATGCCGGAGATCCCAGATTCAAACAAGCCAGCTCACCTGGCCGCAAAGCTGTCGATCAGCCCAGGTGGGAATCGCACATATAGATTACCAACGGAAATTTTGTTCGCAGAGAGTGGAATGTTGCCGGCAGGATCTGACACCGTAGAATCCCACAGATAAGTCCACCGACGCATAAGCCCATGCACACCCGCAGAGACAGGCGGTAAAGGGTGCACAGACCTAGGCGTCGGCGTACAAGCCCATGGGCTTACTTGAATTTCAAGTTAGAATTAATCCTCCTTCTTTGTTGCCTGCCTGCACGGATGCAAGAGTACATAACCTCCAAGCGTGTGCAACTGCCTGTGCTGTGTACTTTTGTAGGCGTGGGTTCGAATCCCACTTCTGACACCATGTTGTGTCATGAACTGACATAAGGAAGTGCTTTATTTTACAGACAGATGAGTGTAGATATAGTGAAGAGTCAGGGAGGCCATGCCCAGCAGAGCATGGTATCGTGCGTAGCACGGGGGTAGTGCGAGGTCACGTACCGTCTATACATGGCGACAGACAGAGGAAGGATTACTAGTATGCCGTGAATGGGTGAAAGGATAACAAAGTCATGATACAGGATAGGACAGCCTGCACAACCTCTATGCAGTGCTGTGATGGCAGAACTTCACATCACGTGACATGGTTCCAAAGGTTAATGTTGTTGTTCCGATTTGCACTTGTTTTTCTTTCTTTTTTCCCCATGGCTGGCTATAATCGCCCTCACCTCCTCCTTGATTGGCTTTGGCCATGAGTGTGTGCGTAATAATAATAATAATTATGCTGGCAAACAGTGCAAAGTGACCACAAGAGAGTTGAACCCAAAGCAGGGTTGCGTACAACCCTGTATCATCATGTGCAGCGTGCACATAATGTGTACGAGTTCATCACGTGATCTGAAGTTCTGCCGCCGCAGACCCCATAGCTGGAGTTGCACGCTCCTGGGGGTTATGCACTCTTGACGGATGTAGTAGCAGCTCTTGCTGTGCTTTTGTTGATGTGTATCGCGACTGGTACATGAGCCCATTCCACATGTACAGGTCCCTGCTCACATAATATTATTGTAAGTCCATCCTATGGCATGGCACTTTTAAATCTAATAGCCGCAGGATTCTATGGGGTATCATCAAACACCACACCACACTGATCAAGTGCAAAGTGTGCTGTTGAATACAACAGCCTGATACAACACCGAATAAGGCCACAAGGGACAATGCATGGGCTAATGCCCCTCCAGAAAACAGCCCATCGTGTGAGCGACAAATACTGTTTGTACGTGTGTGATACACGCTGGGCAGGTCATTTGACAATGTCGTCACGAGGCACCTGGTGCTTGTGATGTGCATGACCTACAGTATGTATGCCTACATGTACATGTACATGAAACTTGATAGTGGTAACGTACCGGTAGCTATACCTGCATAGGGCTTGAAAGTGATGACGTCAAAACGGCCAGGGAGTAGTAAGTTGACATCAGATTTCTATTTTTGGATCCACTAAGGTGTGACTTTGCTATTGCCTAAGTATGTGGGTGCATAGCAACCCACTCGTGTCGCATGCAGGTGTGACTTTTATTTCGCCACCAGTTGTAACCCCGCCCCCAGTAGCCAAATCAGTCAGTTTCACTGGCTACATCACCATGCTGTGGGTAAGACCGCTTGAAATGTGCTTGGATCCATACAAAAACTGAATCCAAGTGGATCCAGTTTTTGAATTTTTGAAATTGTTGCTATGCTGTGACGTAGCACTTTCAAGCCCTATTGAGGTGTTTGTATGGAGTTGCACCAGAAGTGCTATTGGTGCCGCTCCACACAAACATATACGATAAATTCGATAATGCCATTCGCATAGCACAGGGTTCTAGTCAAAGGAAGGTACGGGGGGGGGGGGCAGTGCCCTCCTACTCTGATTGAGCCCCCCCCCCCCCCCCCTACTCATTTGTCGATTTTTGTGTTTTTCGTGCCATTCAACGAAAATGCAATCGATAGTCACTACTAGAGGGTTCATAAAGGCACATTTGTCTGGGGTAAAGCCAGGTGTTCGCCCCGTTCGGGGGGGGGGGGGGGGGGGGGGACGTGTATGGGATTCACTGGCCGGAAAAAGCCACTTGAAATAGATGTGTGGTGAAGACCAGGCTGAATAGCGGCTGTCAATTCTTCAGCCTTGCAAGCTGCTGAATGGTGCAATCCCAGAACAAAGTTGCTATGGCTTCTGCTGTAGCATCGCCACCATCGCCTCCGGCGATGGGCGGCAAAGGTGTGTGTGTGTGTGTGTGTGTGTGTGTGTGTGTGTGTGTGTGTGTGTGTGTGTGTGTGTGTGTGTGTGTGTGTGTGTGTGTGTGTGTGTGTGTGTGTGTGTGTGTGTGTGTGTGTGTGTGTGTGTGGGTGTTTGTGTGTGTGTTTGTGTGTGTATGGGGGGGGGGGGACTGATCATCTCCTGCATACTATAATAATGATAATTATGATTGGTAAACAGGAAGGTTTACACACGCACCTCCAACACTGGAGCTGTTCCCAATATCCTGTTCAGGTCACCGTCGGTTGACGCTTTGCAACTGAGGCGCATAATGTGGTACAAGAGCATTTTCGTGGCCTCTGACTTGCCGGAGCCGCTCTCACCACTAATAACAACACACTGGTTGGCTCCATTTTGAACCAGAGAGTGAAACGCTGCGTCGGCGATGGCAAAAATATGCGGTCGCACTGACGGGTCTCCAAGTCGGCGGTTTTGATACTTGTGGCAGTACTGAGGATTATAAATTGGGAAAAACTTGAAGGGGTTGACAGACACCAAGATTGTTCCCACGTATGTGTAAATTAGTTCGTCCTCAAATCGAGTTCGCAAATCCTGCAGAAGGCTCTCCTCGGTCAAATTGGGAACAGAGCAGAGGTCATCCATTCTTACGGTTGACTTGCTCCTGTGGCTTTATACAACTAATCAGCTATAAACAAACATAACTTCCTGGTGAAAAGTCACAGAGCTAGACTACAATTGTAGAGGCGCCATAACCAGCCTGATCATCATGCTACCACCGGATCAAAAAAGCCTTCGCCACCACCACACAAACAACGTTACTTCGAAAGTACCGGTATGTTGGCGGCCTGCATGTGTACTGCACAAAATTCAGGACACAGCGCCGCCGGCGAAGGCGGTGAACAGCTAGCTGGTGAAGTCCTGTGAGGCTAGGCTGTGTTCCCTACAACTAGTACAAGTACAACTGCTTGTACTACTTTGCAGTGTGTGGCCCATTTCCGGCCTACAACCGCCTTTTGCGGCAACTGCACCACACGACCCACGTGGTTGTAAATCCGGAAACGTGGACCGCAACCGCGCGTAGGTCTACGTACCTGTATCCCAATTGCTACAAAATTGAAAATACTGTACAATGTATTGTAGTACAACAACGGCGTAGGCATACGGCGCTGCAGCAGGAATTGTACGACTGCCTGTGTTGACTTCTCAGAGTTCTCTACAATTGTAGCTCTGTGGTCGAGTGTGAATGGAACCAATGAAAATCTCCAGTCCGTTCCCTTCTCATCATGAGTATCCTCGCCCTCGTTGATACGTGTATACTCATTATGTATGCTAATTGTGCTAATTGTTTATGTTATTTTGAGTCCTGATAATTATGATTATGGTGGTGAAGAGTATAAAAAAGTTGTATTTTTTCTTCCTGTAATTGTTAGTACATGAACCGTTTCCTTGGAGACAGAAATGCTATAATTATACAGTGTGCTTGGATAAGTGAGAAGACCTGGAACTTGAAAAGTGTCCTTCTATAATATTATACCGGTATGGTAATTGTGGATCGTTTGCAGGCAACCTACCTACACTCAAGAGAGCACTGCATTTCACACAAATCCATTAGAGGTATCGTTACAACGTTTCGGTCTTTATGACCATCATTAGGAATGAAGTGGACATGGAAAAAAAACAGCAGTATAATTATAAAAGAAGGAGGCAAGCAAGCAAAGCGTGGTACCTAGTGACAGCGCGCGTAGAGAAGTGCAAAGCACGTCATGGCGGGTGTGCATTGCTACATGTACATGACAACACAAGCACAAACGGCGAGGAAAGTAGATACTGCGCTACAGCTAGCAGTGATACTTGCACAGTACATACATGACAATGGGCACTGCACAGTGTAGACTGAAGATGTTGACGTAGGAGCATGTTTTGAATAGAAGCATGGTTTGAACCCCGGCTTATACGGCCGTAAGCACCTGCTTTTATACGCGACGTTACGGTATACTAGTGTCCAAAACAGCTTTGTGTTGCACTAATCAGAGCAAATTCAGCACGCAATTAGGAATAACTAAAATAGCCAATATAATAGTCTATAATAGTTACGGAGTTCTTACACCTAGAGTAACAAATAATAGTGCAGTCTATTATCGGTCAGGCGGTTCAATAGCCAATATCGATTCCCAGATTCTGTCTGATTTTTAATGGCGGGGGGGGGGGGGGGGGGGGGAGACACGCAACCAGTTTCTGGCAATGAGAAAGTATTACTGTTGTACTCGCCTTCACGGTACAGTGTGTGTGTGTGTGTGTGTGTGTGTGTGTGTGTGTGTGTGTGTGTGTGTGTGTGTGTGTCACTGTGTGTGTGTGTCACTGTGTGTGTGTGTGTGTGTGTGTGTGTGTGTGTGTGTGTGTGGCACTGTGTGTGTGTGTGTGTGTGTCACTGTGTGTGTGTGTGTCACTGTGTGTGTGTGTGTCACTGTGTGTGTGTGTGTGTGTGTGTGTGTGTATGTGTGTGTGTGTGTGTGTGTGTGTGTCACTGTGTGTGTGTGTGTGTGTGTGTATGTGTCACTGTGTGTGTGTGTGTGTGTGTGTCACGGTGTGTGTGTGTGTGTGTGTGTGTGTGTCACGGTGTGTGTGTGTGTGTGCAGGCTCTTCCTGACTTTTCTTTCATTCTCCTGGGTGGTTACCAACAGCCAGTGTATGCCGGAGTATGTGGTGTGGTGTGTGTGTAGAAAAAAAGAAAAAAAAGAAAAAATGGAAAAATGAAAAATAGGGATTCACTGGCCAGAAAAAGTCACTTCAAACAGCTGTGTGGTGGATACCAGGCTAAAAATAGTGGTGGTCAATTCATCAGCCTTGCAAGCTGTTGAATGGTGTAATCCCAGCACAAGTTGCTATGTCTAACATAGCTGTTCGCTATCATCGCTCCCGCGATGGGCATGTCTGAGGTCTGAGGTGTGTGCAGGGGCGTTGGACACGGTACGGTCACTACGGTATTGGCCGTACCACTTTTTGCCCCAGGTACCCCGTGAAAAATAAAATACACTGATTTGCGCTCTAAATTTTCAAACATTTCGGCTCAGCCACCCCTCCGGCTCCGCCACGAGAAAATTGTATTTCAGATGGTTGAGCGTACCACACTAAAATACCTTCCGACGCCCCTGGTGTGTGTGTGTGTGTGTGTGTGTGTGTGTGTGTGTGTGTGTGTGTGTGTGTGTGTGTGTGTGTGTGTGTGTGTGTGTGTGTGTGTGTGTGTGTGTGTGTGTGTGTGTGTGTGCAAAGCAGCGTGCTGTCTATACTGGATACCCCAGCAAGTGTATGATGTGCAAAGGTCTTGGCCATCCTTTTCCGATGATGTGCTCCGTGTGGTGTAGACCAGGTGTGCATTGGGGTTCGATTCACATGATGGCTTCACAGTTGTGTGGATCTTTGTAGTCTTAGCCTTGATCTGTTCCCTTCGGAATCAGGTCAGCTATCATTGCTATAAGAATAAATCTGTGGGTGCACATCCAGTGCATTTGCACATTTGTCGGCTTCCCTTAGTTGCTCCTGACTGCAAACAGAGACCGGTTGGTAGGGTCCGGGTCTTGTGACCAAATGAACTGTTTGGGGTCATGCCCCGGTTCGGACCCGTGATCTGTGTTCTAAAGGGAGGGGGCATACAATTCATGTGGTCCGCCCTCGTAAGACCTGGACTCTGCCAAACGGTCTCTGGTTGCAGTCGGGAACTCTGTTTTCAATGCAGCAGTGAACGTATTGTCCGCCTTGTGTCTTGTGATATAATGCTGTTATCATCATCATCATCATCATACATGTAATTATTAACACAATTCCCCATCACAATAATTATTATTATTATTATTATTGGAAATGAGAGTCCTCCGGCTGGGTAGAGTCACGGCTCAATATTCATTCGAATAGAACTATCGTACACACGTCTTGAGATATGTCTGAAGATTGCCTATGGTCATGAAACTAATAGTTACAACGACTGATGCGTGGTGCTCTGTGACATTTTTTTCCCTGGCATTTTGGGGTTCGAATGCTGTAATTCAGTATTATTATCAAGCGTGCACTGAATACATGTAGATAAACTTTTCTAATTGGTCTGTTTGTGTCAGTGTTTTTGGAGTTGAGAAGTGAAGTTTCCTATACATGTAGATACTCTTGATGGATAATATATTGCAGCAAGAGTATGCAGACAGTCATGTACAATGTCATTGTATTTGTAGGTTTATTTATTGTACTCTTGCCAGTCTAGCAGTACCGCAAGAGTACATATTTATGTACTCTAAGAGCCTTGGTCATAACAAGAGGACTCTTGGTCAGATTGCACCAGGCGCACGCCAGCTAGGTAACGGCGTAGATCTACGGCATATGGCATAGACTACGTCGACGTCACATAACAATCACACGTCACCTTTGCAGGCTGCATGCTGTGCTAGCATGCACATACCGTACTGACACTGTACTTACTAGCACTTACATCACTGCACTACCGCGGTATGACCACTGGTATGCCCGTGATCAGCGTGCAGCACACACCACACGGTCATTTGCAGCAAGGAGAAAGTAGATGGACAGTTTTCAAACACTCAGATGAGCTACAAGCTCATGTGCTGTCTTTCCTTGATTTCCTACTTTGATTTGAAGGCACGTATGAACCTGCATGACTCCCGAGCTTGTTGTAGTAACTGTGGAAGACAGCATAGACGTAGTACGTGCTTCAAGGTCTCCTTCGAACTTTTGCTCTGCCGTGACCTACATTATAAACTAATCTTAGTCTTTTCTTGGTAACTTGGAAGTGACATTATCTTGAGCATGGCCTCTCCTGACCTCGACATAGTCATTCGGTCACCTACTGGGAAAGAGAACGACTTCTCTATAGCATGCCATGAAGAATGGAGCGTTAAGGATGTCAAGCATCACATCTCCCTAGAGTACCCATCGAAACCGGTGAGAGAATATTGCAGCCATTTAGGCATTACTCTACTCATTCCAAACACGATCATTGTTTCTCTGCTGCAAACGTCACTTCAGATTCACCAAATTTTCGGGCATGGCCCATCAACAAGGTGAAACAGTAAAAAAAAAAAAAAAGGTGTGCTGTTTTACCCTGATAGTGAGCCATGGCCGATAATTTGGTGAATCTGCAGTGACGACGCAAAAGAGAGAGACAGAGAGACAGAGACAGACAGACAGACAGAGAGAGAGAGAGAGACAGACAGAGACAGAGAGAGAGAGAGAGAGATCATGTGTGTTTGGTCTGAGTGGAGTCTTAATAATTATTATATTGATGCTACTGCAGGGCTGGCGGAGCCGCTCCGGTCGGTCCGGCCATGGCCGGACGAACTTTTCGGCCACCGACGATTTTTTACGACGCAGTAACGTTACGTTATGACTGTTGTGATCATCGATTGCATGTACGCGTACTTGCGATCTCGCTCTGATCTTGCCGTGCACGTGTGCACGCTTGAGGGCTAGCTGTGGCCTGTGTGTGGGCGGCGCCTGTATACATGTAGCTGTGGCGCGACCTGAAAGCACGTGCCATGATGGATTCTATTAATTTTGTAGTCTTGAGGGTTTTTCGTCGAGTGCTTCAGATTCTTTTACCGAACGAAATAGTTTTTCAAATTTTTCTCGCTGTTTGGTCAGCTTAGCTGCAGTGCATGCTTAGCAGCTATGGCTTCTTCCAGCGAAATATCTGTGCCAGAAGTGCCAGTCCACCCAACCACTTCCTTCGCGTTTCCTCGGCGGGAATTTGGGAAAACGACAGTGGTGAAGCGCTCTTGTCAGGCGTCATAATTATTTCACGACATGGTCTTGGTTGACCTACGATCAAAGCAAAGAGACGTTGTGTTGTGTCACACGTGCGCAAGTGCTGTGCTGGCGAAAAAACTTGGCCGGACCAATCAACAATTGCTTCCGCCGGGCCTGTACTGTAATAATTGTACACGTATTCTGGCTTCATAATTGCTGTGCTCTCCAAGTGGCAAAGCGTAATATTTACTCTTGAGAGTCTTGCTTCAGGGATGTCCGATCTAGCCACCATTGGGGTAGGGCTGAATTATGCATGCTTGCATAATATGGCATTGCTGGCGTGGGCTGTGTGCTTGGTGTCAGTAGGTCAAGATTGCAAGTTACATAGACATCACATTGAATGTGACAGTGTCACGGAGTGGCCGAGACGTGGTTGTGGCTCTGTACTTGTTGCGTTCGCGTGGTCTTTCACTGCCGTTTGAAGCAGGCCACACAAGAACAGAAGCAAAGCCATTTCAGTCCATGATATTTTTTACTTTTGACGGACCGCACTTTCATTTGAACTGACTGGCCTTGCTCACTAGCTCTCCGGGTGTCCAACATTGTCTTCCAGTAGCGGTTTGTGCATTTGAAAGTACAGTGAGGTTATTTACCAGTGTACAATACAGGTGTATGTATAGAAGGCTAGAAGCAGGGTATATTCAAGAGCACATGACCCCCAAGAGTGTGCAACTGCCAGTGCAACCTCTATCCAGTGCTGCGACGGAAGAACTTCAATTCTGACATGCCACGTGACCGTGGCCAGGGTTTGAGCCAATCAGAGCGCTCACAGGCAGGGCCTGAACCCCTGATCATGCCCTGGCTGCCAGCTCTACTACGATGCACCGTACCGTATACCCTCACGTGATCATTCATGCCCTCCTACCGTGCCACCGTAGGAGAGCTTGAATAATCACGTGATGGGTATGCTAGAACTCACGTGAATCAACCTGAATCAACGACACCGCCCTGACATTCATATCTGATTCTATACATCCCGTGACATGGTTCATTAGGTTACGTCAGAGACTCCCTGGGTTATGCTGGCAAACAGTGCAAAGTTATCACCAGAGAGTTGAACCCAATATAGGGTTGCATACAACCCTGTGTCTATCATGCACAGGGTGCAAATAATGTGTACGGATTTTTCATGGGATGTGGAGGTTTGTCATTACAGACCCCATAGACTGGAGTTGCACACTGTTGAGGGTTATCATCAATATCAAGGGTAGAGTAGAACCCGGGTTAAGGGTCACACCGGATTAGGGATCGGAGCCGGGAGGGGGGGGGCACTTGGCACGTACATTGTGCGGGTGATCCTTCGGAGCCCGGGGGGGGGGGGGGGGGTCACTTGGCATGTACATTGTGCCGGTGATCCTTCGGAGCCCGGGGGGGGGGGGGGGGGGTCACTTGGCATGTACATTGTGCGGGTGACCCTTCGGAGCCCGGGGGGGGGGGGGGGGGGGGGGTCACTTGGCATGTACATTGTGCGGGTGATCCTTATACCGGTATTTAATTTCCGGCCCAAGGGGGGGGGGGTCTCCCGTCGGTTTCTGAGGAAGCCGTAACTTTTTTCGCTCCAAACTATTTTTCTGGGGTCCATCTACTCACAAAAAGTCGTTTTGCACACCTTTTTGTCCATCCCTGTACAACTGAGTCCAGCTATGTCCGCGCAGAGTTAGGTAGATCCCTAACCCGTGTTCTACTCATAACCCCCAAGAGTGTGCAATCAACTCTTAATGGGGTCTGCGACAGCTGAACTTCACATCACATGCCGAACCCGTACACATTATTTGCACCTTGTGCCAGATAGATGCAGGGTTGTACGTTACCCTGCTTCGGGTTCAACTCTCTTGTGGTCACTTTGCACTGTTTGCCAGCGTAACCTTTCGAACTATGTCACGTGATGTGAAGTTCTGCCGTCGCAGCACTGTGTAGAGGCAGTCCTACACTCTTGGGGGTTATGTACTCTTGTCAATATGTATGATGGTATTTGAACCCCTTTCCGGTAGTATAGCTGGGTCCACCGTTCTTGTTACGGTTTGGTTGTACTGTATTTGTCCCCCGAGCATACTACCAGTACTTTCATTGTCTCACCTACACTTCTGCTGTGGTGTTGTCTGTTTTGTCGTTGTCCCTTGTGTCCCGATTTTGATACGCTTTAGCTAGCTGACTGTCCCTGTGTTGGACGTGTGCTTTGTCTGTGCTCCTATAGCCCGTTAACACGCAGCGGATTATTTACCAAGGGAAACTGCTTCTTGATGACCAGCTCATTAGGCATGTTCTCCAACCAGTAAGTATGAGCAGTGACATTTGTGCCAGATGCTGAGAGTCAGTCACATCACTACCATTAGACTGTTAGATGGGTCACTTGATATTCGAGTTCTATCACCATTCGGACTATAGGAGGCCACGTGGGTACGAGTTTCGAAGTGTAAGTAACTGTCCACGACTGTAAGAAGATAATAAGCAGTCACAAAGTGCCATAACTGGGCAAAAACTGACAATTACTGAGACATTCAACGACCTGACACCTAGTTGCGCTCACCTTCCCCTCTTCGGTCTTACCTTAGCCATAAATCTTCAAGTTGGAAGGCTGTTGGTTTCCGCATTAAAGGGGAAGTATACCCTAAAATCAAATTTTCACCAGTTGTAGTCTTCGGGGTGCTGAGTCGAATGGTCTTGGTCCGAGGAAGCTGAGACGCTCCCTTCCTACTTGAATCCCAATCGAACTCGCGCACTTCCACCGAAACTGGGTGACTGCGCCCTACTAGATGGGGATTTGTATGCAAAATGTCACTAAAAGCGCCATTTCGTTCTTATAAAAGCACGGATGATCGCGATTGGCCCATATGTTGTAGTCTTTTGGACGCTGAGTCGACTGGTTTTGGTCCGAAAAGGCTGCGATGCAGCGTTCCTCCTTTATTCCCAATCGAACATGGTTGAACAAGCGGTCACGTGCTCCTGCGTACACCAGTCACCTGGTCACCGTGCCTGCAGGGTACAACTTACTAGCCTGTTTGACCTTTTTTGGGTGCAGTCCTGTCACTCGAGTTGAACTCGAGTTGAACCTTGGTGTGAAAGTTGTCGCCTGCTGGCGCGGTGACCAGGTGATTTGGGCACCCAGGAGCACGTGACCGCTTGTTCAACCATGTTCGATTGGGAATAAAGGAGGAACGCTGCATCGCAGCCTTTTCGGACCAAAACCAGTCGACTCAGCGTCCAAAAGATTACAACATATGGGCCAATCGCGGTCATCCGTGCTTTTGTAAGAACGAAATGGCGCTTTTAGTGACATTTTGCATACAAATCCCCATCTAGTAGGGCGCAGTCACCCAGTTTCGGTGGAAGTGCGCGAGTTCGATTGGGATTCAAGTAGGAAGGGAGCGTCGCAGCTTCCTCGGACCAAGACCATTCGACTCAGCACCCAGAAGACTACAACTGGTGAAAATTTGATTTTAGGGTATACTTCCCCTTTAAAGATGTTTTGGAGCTAGGTGTCGGGTCATTGAATGTCTCAGTAGTCTGTCAGTTTCGCCCAGTTATCACACTTTCTGACTGCTTATTATCTTGCTACAGTGGTGGACAGTTTAATACTCATACCTTGTATTCATGTGTCTTTTTTAATTTTTTATGTCATTGCATATATTATTGGCTCAGTATCCAAGTTCAACCATTCGGACTGTTGCTGATTCCATGTGATTTGTGTTATTTTGTGCATTGCAATGATCCCTTTTGTTTTAAACGTTTCTTGCATCTGTTGTTCTTTCTTTTCCTCTTGTCACAGGTTCCTGGTGGTGAGTCGGCGGATGAGAAAGCACGTATCTTTTTCATGATCAGCAGTGGTTCATCTACTAGTACCCCACCATCACCTGCTGTGCAGGCAACATCGCTGGAGAGAGGCATGTCATGCCCTGCCTCACCACCTCGACGAGTGAGTGCATCTCAAGCTCACGATTGGCCCGTAGCGAATAATAAGTTTGGTCAGGAAGGCTGTTTCAAGCACGTGTAGCTCATACACAGGCTGGATGAGAAATATCGGACCATCAGGACCTGTTCAGTTAAAAGAAAAACGTTGAAACTGGAGGGTGGCAAGTGCTACTATTCTGGTCCTTGTGACAACGTGGTGGTCATATTCAAAATAATTTGATGTTCGTTTTGTCCGCAATCAGTTTTTGACTCCTCCTGCATTGTACGAATGCAGAAAAGCCTTTGGAGTATATTCTTGTTATCTCTACCAGGTCTCTCAAGTATATGCTGATCATGTCAGGCAGTTGAACTTGAGCCTGTTTTCACTTTGGCATGAATGCTCCGTGCTGCGGCTTTGTGTGCCAGTGTCGGTTCTTGATTCAAGTACTCTGTAATCTATGCTGTGTGTGTGTGTGTGTGTGCGTATCTGTGTGCCTTGAATGTGTGTGCACTCAGGACCCGCTGTCTGCAGCCAGCAGTACGCGGCGGTCACCGGCTACCCCTGTCACACCCAGTGCAGCAACACCTGGCCAGGTAGGACTACATGTAACTGTAGGGTGTAAACAAGAGTATGGTGTACCGTGTGTGTGTGTGTGCAACTCCACCTGGATTGGCAATGGGGTGCCCTGGCAGTGGAAACTCACATCACCCAGGAAGGTGTTCTTGCTGTAAACCTTCTTTCTAGAGAGAAAATGAGTAGTAAAAGGAATACCCTGTGAAGGAAAGTGGGCGAATCTATGGCAGTTTTGTCACTGCATACACGCTGACCTATGTTGCACGTACTACAAAGCGTACTTTCAGCAGTGATGGACCACGTGATATGAGCTTTCGCTGTCGGAGACCCCACAGAATTGCGAACACTTAGGGTAGAGGTGTACACTTTTGTAATCCACAATGACCACCGAAGCACACGTGTACTGTAGTATCTACCGTTTTCTCCCGAATATAAGTCACACCTTTTTACATTAAAATTCAAGTGCAAAAAGGGGTGCGACTTACAATCGAACATGGTTTACTGCTGAAGCGATTGTATTGAAATGATATGGCTCAAACCTGAAAATGGGGGTGTGACTTATAATCGAATGCGGCTTGTTATCGGGAAAATACGGTACATGTACATTGCCCAGCCTGCTTTCTCTGCAGTATGGACACGGGGTGCTCACTTTTAACAGACAGCTGCGACTCTACTTGGTGTGCATGCGTTGTACTCTGTTCAGGGGACTACTGGTCTTCGTTATCGGGGTCCAGCTGTGACAGAAGGAACTGCTGCATCGCCTACTCCATCAACTGAAGAAAGTCGTCCGGCTGCCTCTGCTGCTCCTCAGCAGCTTCAGGAACCGCCGCCACTAGCAGCAACGGCGGGCATGGCATCGACTGACACCAGCTCACCATCTTCCATGCCATACAATAACTGGTGAGGGAAAACCCCATACTGGCCAACCCTCCCGTTTTTCCCGGGAAAATCCCGGAAAATCAACACTCCTCCCGGGGTCCCGGGGATTTCAAGCAAACTCCCGGAAAAACCAAAGTTTTGTCTGATACAGGACTTTCCTGAAAACTCCATGGTTTCTCCCCGAATGTCCCGGTTTTTTGAACTTTTTTCAAAGGTATGTACGGTGCTCATTCGCACTTCGAACTGTGCACAGCACTTTGAAGACCTGACCGTGCAAGATCTGCACTGACAAAGTGACAGGCGGGCGCCGACTGATCAAACTGCACTACAGCCTAGTACAGGGTCGATCTGTGCTGTACGCACAGCTGCAGAGTCGAACGTTTTTTTGGCGGGAAAAGCTCTTTTTCACTTATTTTTGTGCCATCCAGGGATTTTGAGAGAAATCCAGGGATTCCGCATGTCTTGTCAAGGGATTGAGATTGTGGTGGTTGGTCAGTATGAAACCCCCTGGCATCATGCACGCTGGCTGTGGTCTGCTCTCTGCTCCCAGTGTACACTAATGAAGCTTTAGATTGCTGTACTCCAGTCAAAACCCATGTTGGCAGTTCTTAGCAATATTTCAGTGAAATCGATTACCACGGCAAGGTTGCAATGTTGTGCGAGCTGAGCCAAGGAAGTTACACGTGTTGTTTTCTGCAATTCCTCTGACTGCTGTATGAAATGCAGGTCTAATCCCACTGCCTGGGCAAGTTCTGCCTACTCTGCCTACCCGTCACTGAGTGCTGATCAGCAGGCGTACATGTCAGCGTACTACCAACACTACGGCGGTGGCACTGCGTCCTACATGAACCAGTCCATGTGGCAGGCGTACATGGCGTCCGCTGCAGCTGCTGCAGCAGCACATGCGTCCACTGCTTACCAGTAAGGCCGGGGCATATACCGTATTTTCCGGAGTATAGTGCGCACTTTAGATGTGCTATTTTAGGCCCTAAATCGCAGGTGCGCACTATGCTCCGAATATGAAATGCATGTACTTCAATGAAGATTGAAGTGCGCACCCCCAATGAAGATTGGGGGTGTGCGTTATACAAAGGTGCGCACTATACTCCGAAAAATACGGTACTGCATATACGATAACTGCCTGGAGATGTATGTGGCAGTGAGGGAATAGGCATGGGTAGCGTCAGCATGTGCCTGTCATTAGGGGTGCTTTGGATTTTGCACCCTCCCTCCCCCTCCCCCCCCCCCTACTTTAATTAACAGACTGTTGTAATGGATGTTGTATGTGTTGTCATCTTGGTCACAATGTCCCAACCAGGGCACTTCATGATATTGTCTACATGTCTTTTGTAGTGTGGTTTTTCCTTCATTTGTAGTACTACCGTAAAATCCCGCCAGAGCGCCCCTACCTCCGCCACCCTTCGAGTAGGTCCAGGTGGGGAGAGGTGGATGGGCGAGTCCTACTTACCGCATTCAGTACTACATGAAAAGTACTCACCCTACGAAAACTGTTTGTGCATCTCGTACACCGACCAAAGGTCAAGAGCCAGGAGTCGTACAGACCCATCAAAACTCAGGGTTTGTGCGATCCCAGGTCAAGAGGGTGGGCACTGTTGCGTACATTTCCAACGGGGTCTTGCACCCGTCTGCAGTACAGTACGGCATCACAGAGTCATACGAGGATACAACCAATCACTTCCCTGACAAGAAGTAAGGGAGGGGCGGATGGGAGAGACGGGGCGCTCTGGCGGGATTTTACGGTACATAATCTATCACATGTTAAATTCATGATTCTGATTGACTGCGGTGGTTGTGAATCTTGTGTCTGTATGTGCACAGAGGAGCATCTCCGTATGCGTATCCCGGTGGCATGGTCCAGCAATACCCAATGTTTGCAGCACCTCCCAATGCTGGAGTTGCGCCAGTACAGCAGCAGCCGGTGGCACCAGCTCCCGGGCCCGCCGTCGCAGGCCAGCCTGCTAATCGCCAAGCACCAGCAGCACAGCGGCAGCAAGAGCGACAGCCGCCCATGGCTGCCGCGCCAGGCGCCAACGCTGGTGGTCTGCTGGGCGCGGTGGACAACGACGAGGAGGACAATCAACAGCCGCGTCTCTTGCGCTTCATTGGGGCCGGTTTTCGCATGGTTTTGATGATGAGCGTTCTGTATTCTCTATGCACACCGGTCCGCTTCACTATCCTGCTGGTTGTTGCTGCCGTTATTAACCTCTACCAGGCCGGCTTCTTCAACTTGCGCCGTGCTGCACATCGCAGGCCGCAAGCTGCTGATCCAGATGTCATTGAAGCACTGGCCGACTTCCGCAGGCGTGCTCAAAACCAGGGGCGTGGAAATCAGGATGCTGCTGCTGCTGCTGCTGCCGCTGCTGGTGGTGATGCAGTCAATGTAGAACAACCCAACAATGATGCCACTGGTGCTGCTGCTGCTGCTGGCAGTGGTAGTGGTAGTGGCCAAGGTGATAGCAGTGAGGACAGTGACTCCAATGAGGTGAGTTGTAGCAAAGGTACTACAGTATGGGGGTCAGCTACTTATGCCTTGTCACTTGTGCATTGTCTATGCGACCATGTGTTTGTCTGTGAGAAGTTGTGGTACAGTCAACTGCGGATATAACGACGATTCGCGAATAACGGCAGGATTTCCATGCCCAGAGCACAGTCCCATCCAACTGTAATACATATAATGAGACTTCGGGTATAAGGACACTTCGCGAATAAGGACACTTTTCTGATGCCCCGCCGAGTGTCGTTAAAGGCGAAGTTGACTGTACTGCAGCCAGAATAATCTGCACTGTCGACCTGAAATGAATGGAACCTGCAAACGTACACATATGAGTGATTTGACTACAACTGTGCGGCGTGATGGCATTGAATTTCTGATCCATCTGGCCTAACGTTAGGCATGGGCCTCTGGTACTGTAGGTCCATGGATTGTCACTGGTTGGTGTGGGTCATGGGCTTCTGGTTCATGTGGGCTTCACTTCATGTTTTGCTTCTGCCTAGGAGATATGGTATGGGTGTCCTTGTCGCTCAGCTGCATGGTTATGCATGTATCTGTTGAGAAGCCCTGTGCTAACTTTGGTGTTTCTGTTGATTGATGCTTTGTCTTGACGCGGCAGGAGGCAGACGGCAGCAGTGGTGAAAGCAGTTCAGAGGATGCCAGTGATGCACCGCCTGTTGCACCACCGCGCCCGCAGCCGTCCACAACGCAGGTTGTTGTAGCGGCTTGCAAAGCGTTTGTAACCTCACTGTATCTTGATCCCGATGTTGCTGCCAATTAAATCTGGGGAACATTTGTTTGTGCAATATTCACATTCTCTCCATGGTAACGTCTGTTGCTTCAATTTGCTTTGCTGAGTGTCTCGTTGTTATAGTGATTTCACACATCCTGTATGAGTAGATCACACTGTTTTCTACGGTTTGTAATGCGGTTTTTTTTATTAACCAATTTTCAAAATGTACAACTACCTCATAATATCGCATTTCTCCAAACCAGATTCATTTTTACGGCAATTCCCCCATGTTGTGTTTCCCCTTTCTCGTCCTGTGCGTCGTTTCGTGTTGTCTTACTAGCTTGCTGCTATCCAGCTGATGCACCACTTTAACTCTGTGCTTTCCTCTCCTGTCGTCGTTAGTGCGTCCACACACTGGCTGCACACCATTATTACACTGTACTCCATTACTACACACTGGAATATGTTTTACACTTTCACAGCATACAAACAATAGAGCTATTGGCTCGGCAATATTATTATTTTTTTACAGTATTCAAAGAGTCTCCCGCGAAGGTGAGAGCTAAATATACTCGTACTTGAAGTAAACGCCAGATATGTTCAAATGAGAGCGGCTTTTTGGTTACGGTGGAACTGGAATGTTCATTGTTCAAATGTACAGCTACTTTGTGCGGCAGTACAGGCAATATTTACAAAAGCTGATGATGTCCGGTGTAGAAAGTTGGACATTCTAACGCCGTACTGGCATATATTATGTGAATGAAAGAAGGGAAAGAACTGTACATATCATAATTATGAAAACCCCAAACTGTACAACAGAGAGCGAGAGAGACAGGCAGGCAGGCATATTCCAGTATGTACAAGCACATAAAACAGGGAGCCAAAAAGCTGACTTTCTTCTACGCTATGTCTTAAAAAACTTTTTTTTAAAGATAAAAAAGAATGTGCACTTCTGTAGCAAATGCACAATCCACCAAACTGGTATAGAAACTTCAAAACACAAAAACTCTTGAAATGTAAACGTAACGGTTAGATGACAGAAACTCTACACACAACATGTGTGCACACACTTGTACATCATGTAGCTGGCAGTTCAGTCCAGGAGACACTAGACTAGCACCACAGGTCCGTGTGCTTTCAGGCGACGGGAGCCTGCGTACTGGCCACCGCCTGCAGGAATGCCGACACTCCCTCGCGTGCCACGCGCCGGTTATTTCTTTCTCTGTATTGTACAGGAACACAGGAGACACAGAAAAATAGACATCATCAGATCACGCTTCTTGAAATAGTACAAAGGTCATATTGGCATCTATACATTGCTTACGCCAAAACAAAAAAAGGCTTGTTTCGGGTCGGCAACCCCTCAAAAAGGAGACTCGGTCGGCCGGAATGAAACTTTTTTTGGATACTTTTTTTGGTTCATCAATCGTTGTGTCATTGATGAACAAGAGCACCTACACATGTGCATGTACATGTATCATGGTAAGGAATAAGGATCAATGTCACAGTTGACTGACTGGTCCTGTACAGCAAGCAGTATTCCTGTCGTCCTAGATCCTGAGAAATCAAGCAAAATGTTCGAGTGCTTGCAGCTCCGTTATACTAGGTGACTAGGTCGTATCGACCCCGGAGCTTTTCGAGCCGACAGCTGAGAATCTCTGTTACCTCGTAGGTATTTCGATTGTTGAATTAGGTTGAGATTTGACTGAGTTATTCCATGCGTAGGATCCGAGAGCAAGCTCTACCCGCGTCAGACCTACCAGCAACTTTCACACAATACGCAGACGACACCACTGCCCATCAGAACGAGCGATCATCTGTGGAAGAAACCGTCCGTGTGTGTGAACCCGTTTTCTCGGATGACAATCTGAAGCTGAACGTGGCAAAAACTCAATATTTCACTGTGACCAAGGAAGATGATTCCTGGAAATCGGTGAAGCTGCTGGGGAGTATGCTAGGCACAGCAGAAGACATAGCAGCTAGAGTGTCTGCTGCAAATCGGGCATTTGCAGGCATTCCATGGAAACGCCACAACCTGAATTCCAGGCTGTGTATGTTTTCCTGCCTGATATTGCCTGTCTTGCTGTATAATTGTGCGCTTTGGACCTTATCGCAAACATTAACCGACGTCGTCAATGTATGCAGGGGCGTACGCCGCTCGCCTCCAGGAGTGGTTCCCATGCCAACTGATGAACCAACATTCCACACAATTGTATCCCACGGAGTTTCTGCTTATTCTCCTCAGACTGGGTGAAATTTTCATCCACAAGCTGCTATACGATGTCATTGCTACGCATTTTTGATTTTAAAAGACTGAACTTTTCCCCGTTTTATGGATGTTTTGTTCAGCATGACGATTGCGTGCAGTCTTGAAAGCTGCCTAAGTTTCGAATCATCTGGAGCAAACATCACACAGGGCAAGCAGAGGCCACCATTGCACGCCGGTCAAAAGACT